GCGCTCGTGTTTAGCTTCCTGTTCACGCTGCTCTTCTACTTTGCGTAGCTGAATACCTGATACAGCAAATCCAAAACATTCATTTTAAATCAAAATACTAGATGTTATTAATCTGTCTTGAGAAGAATCAGGTACACATGAGAAATGTTAATAGAGAAATAAAAAGATCTAAAATTATATTTAGAAAGCAATCCAATCATTCGTTATGTTATTATCATCTGTGATAATAGTTGATTAAACTTCCCAGGTATCACAGTGGCTATCTACAGTTTATTTACCTATCAGAGTCTACTGTATTTCCCTTCTCACCACCCCCTAAAAGTTTAATCAAGTAATATATTTCTTTCATTACCTCTATGGTCAAATAAACAATGGTGAATGTATTTTCTGGGCTTTATTATTACCCATACTTGAGGGAAAGGCACTATTATTCATTCTGCTCTTAGTGTAGTTACTTGGGAGATCTTGACTGAATAAATGAACATGAGAAATCTTTCTAAGGGAGGAACATTACTCCTTTAAAGGCATCTTGTAGAGCAAGTATCACCAATACCTCAAATAAACAGCCTGAAGAATGAAGAAAATACTATTTTAAAGGAGTTAATACACATATTAAGCATAATACAAAGAGAAAATTTTAGTTAAATCTTCTGTAACATTTAAGTCTGAGATTTTAAATTTCTCAAACATTCTAAGAATCCCTATGAAGTTTGAAAGTGAAATGATTAAAAGTGATATATTTTCTTGAAAATGATTTAAAATATACATTGGACATAGCTTTACTTTCTAAAGACCACTTGTACAAAAACATGATTATCCAAAATTTTACAAATGAAGAACACATTACTGTCTTAAATATTTAGAAAGTTTCCAGTGCTACTATAGCAATGTTTTTCATGGCTCTGAGAAAATTACCTTTTCGTATTGCTTCTAGTAGGACACTCCTGGCATCACTGATTACAGGTAGGGTTGATGGATGACGCTTTGGCTCAGAAGCAGGTATAACTTGTGATGGAGGAGACGGAGGCATTAATGGAACATGGGGACCTGGGGCAGTGGATGGAGTTGGATGTAGCCCAGAAGGAGGATGAGCAAGAGCTGCAACTGTGACAGGTGA